AGGAACCAGAACTCCTAACAGATTCTTATACATAGGCTCTTATACAAAGGTGTGGTTGGTAAAATCCTAGGTCAACTAAAAAGTTCTAGATCAAGGAAAATAATTTCACAGCTGTTTTTCTTTTCATAAATGAAAGAGAGCAAGTGACGCTTTTATACGTTGGTAGGGAGCGGAAACCTTGCCGTCCTTTGTGATTTGATTGAAAGGTTTTCTTTCTTGTCTCCCATCATATACTCGAAATTATCATCAAAATTGTTGCGATATTTATATATATATAGTGAAAGTTTACAAATGTCTTTTAGCATTATTAAGTCAACGTGGGAATAAGACAAATTCGCATTAGTTAGAGGTAAAATAGACTGCACAGTTTACGCATTTTTCCATGGATTCAACATGTGTAAAGTAGGCAATGATATGGTTTCGAGTGCAACTCGAGCAAATAAAACATTGACTAAAAGAAATGTGGTCAATAAAAATGAATGCATTTTGTTTCTCTCGGCCGTCGTGAAGTCGATACGGTCAACTTCGTTTCTCTTTATCGGACTAGGCAGTAAGCAAAGGACGACTTTGAATGTGGAAAAAGTACAAACCCCCGCCCCCACAACCCCCAAAAAAAGAAGAAGAAGAAGAAAAGACAGTGAATGAACTAATTATTAGGATAATTAATTACATGAGAATCCAGTAATCACAGGGTAAGCTATTGATTTTCGAAAATATCTTCAATCTAGGTAATTGCTAACCTCTTGCCAATTTAGTCGTGATGTCTAACTAAGTCGAGTATAATGTTTATGCATAATACTTTCACGTATAAACATTACAACGTAATGTAACCCTAATTAATTTGTATGTTTGTTATTATTTTTTAAATGATTTCTGAAAGAAAGGAGACCATTGAATCGACCGGTCGATACCATGTTAAGAACAAACCAAGCGCGTATAACAATTTTATCAAGGATGCAACCTCTTATCCCAAGTGCTTTTGAGTTTTGACACTATGCTTATGTGGATGTAGCCCCATTATGCGAAGCAAAAGGGAGAAGTAGAAAAGATGGAAACTATTTTATGGAAGTGGTGACCAGACAAATATGAAGTAGTCAAGGATGCCATAGAGCACTGGATTATTTACTAAACTCTAGTTTAATGGAGAGAGGGGACAAGAAGGACCCATGAGAAGCTCCCCCATTTTTCAATCTAGTTTAATGGAGAGCGAGGGGACAAAGACCCATGAGAAGATCTCACCTTTTCCAAGATCCAGCACATGCCCAACTAGAAGCCAAAGTGTGAAAAGAAAGCAGCGCATCCGTCGAGAAAGCCGGAGGCGCCACCATCAACAATATTAAACTGGCACAAGCAAGAAAAACTAAGGCGACTGAGTAAATTTTTGTTGGGTCCAGCATCCGTGAAAAAAAGAAAGAAAAACTAAGGCGACTGAGCAAATTTTTGTTGGGTCCACCATCCCTGAAAAAAAGAAAGAAAAACTAAGGCTTAGAATAATTAAAATTTATTGCGAAAGTATAATTGAATCTTGAAATTTTTAAAAAATACAATTAATTCATAAAACTTATTAATTTGATGCAATTGAAGGTACAATCATATTTCACGTGCTCTTATTTTTGGGTGAAACGGACCATGTGCACGTTACGTCGTTATCGAGATGAATTTAACAGTTGTTTACGGATATTCCCCACAAGCCGCATGTGCAAAGTAGGTAATGACTTAGTGTACGTGCTTTTTAAACGCCTATTGCTTGGGGTAGATATTGTTGAGTTGCACGTATGAATATGTTAGAAAAAATCACATCCCATATAGGAAAATTGATGTAGTGTGGAGTAGTTAATATATCCTAGTTAGCTCATAACTTATTGTCTTAAGCTTTTGAATGAATGTGAATCAAACTAGATATGTTGACGGGCTCGGCCTTGGATTCCCTCTCGGCGATCTCCCCAGGTGAATGTACTGAAAATTCAGCAACATTCTTATACAAAGACGTGGTTGGTAATGAATTTATGTTGACATAGGCGGAAAATATTTTCACATCTGTTTTTTTCTTTCAATAAATGAAAGAGAGCAAGTGGCGATTTTTATACATTTGTAGCTAAATTAAACGTTGTCGTCCTTTGTGATTTGATAAAAAGGTTTTGTTTCTCGTCTTCCATCGTATACTCAGATACATCGTTGGTTAATAAAGACTGAAAAAATTGAAAAAGGACATAGAATTCGGGTGACGTTTTATATTATTGGTAAATGTCCTAGTATTTAGGAGCAACTAAATGATGAAGGAAAATAAGTTTTCCTTTTCGTGGAGAACATAGATTAATTTGTAAACGTGACGTGATCATAAACTATATATATGTTCGAACAAGCTGTGCAGCATATTTGAAGTATTCTATTACTTAAATCAATTTCTATATCACTAATATTATTTCAGTGCAACTCGAGCATATAAAACATTGACTAAAAGAAATGTGGTCAATAAAAATGAATGCATTTTGTTTCTCTCGGCTGTCGTGAAGTCAATACGGTCAACTTTCTTTCTCTTTATTGGACTAGGCAGTAAGCAAAGGACGACTTTGAATGTGAATAAACTACACCAACCAAAAAACAGAAAGAAAAGACAGAATGAAATATTTAACAGGCTGATTGATTATATGGGGACCCAATAATCAAGGGTAAGCTATTGATTCTTGAAGATATCCTTACTTTAGGTAATAATTGACCTCTTTCCAATTTAGTCGTGATATTTAACTAAACCGAATCTAATGTTTATGCGTGATACTTTCATCATATGACATTTCAACGTATGACACACCATTTAATTTTTCTGTTTGTTATTATCTTTTAAGTACATACCAAGTGCATATAAATATTTTTGAGGTTGCAAAATATTATCTTAAGTGCTTTTGAGTTTTGACACTATGTTAATGGGGATCTAACCTCATTGGGCGTAGCAAGAAGGGGAGAAGTAGAAATGATGGAAAACATTTTATGGGGATGGTGACCAGAGAAGCATGAAGTAGTGAAGGATGCCATAGAGGACTGGATTATTACTAAACTCTAGTTTAATGGAGAAGACACCAACAAGAATATTAAACTGGCACAGGCAAGGAAAACTTAGGCGACGGAGTAAAGTTTTGTTCGGTCCACCGACCGTTGAAAATTAAAAAGAAAAGGCTTCTACGGAAAAGTGAAGATATGGCGGAGGATAAAATCGACTCTTACTTTAGCTTAGTGGAGAAATAATGAAAATATTTCTACTTGGAACATATGAATAAGTCCTCGTCGAGTAGTTAAGTTTGTTCAGATACGACTCGTGTGGCTTTGTTTTACGCCTCATCGACCGCTAAGCTTAGTCTAATGCGTGAGAAGCGCATGTTATATGGTGTGTAATGGCCATGCAATGAAGCCTGCGGAGGCCGAGCTCAGTCACAAGGGCTTGTAACCCGAGTGGGGCGCACCAAGGTGGTGGGACGTGGGCTCGGATCCTTTGGGCTGGGTCTGGTGTGGCTACTTGCTAGACCGCCCGTTCCAAGCCGAGAGTTGGTCCATGTGGTTTGGGCGAAGGGTCGGGCCACATGTATCCTAGAGTGGAGAGGCCCGGTGAGGCTGGTTTCACAGAACAGCGAAAACCGCCCGCTCCCGACAGTGGACGGACAATGGGCCAGTGCCACTCAGGCCCACCATGGTCCAATGGGCTGAGTCCGACTGAACCACCACTTTTTAAAAGAATTGACAAAAAAAAAATGAAGCCCATGGAGATACAGATACATACTGTAAAAGTTTGTGAAAAATCAAGATTTCACATAAAGTTTGCTGTTGATAGACACCCTGTATCCTCTAGTTTCATATTTTAAGTTATCCCCCAAGCAAGTGATTATTAGTTAGTAGATTTTCTTCTCAAATTTTTATTTCGTATATATCTAGATAAAAAAAAACCATCACGCAGATTATGTGGGAATTTTAATACCAGTGTGTGAAGTAGTTATCAAAATTAAAAGAAAAAAAGCGTCCTCGTGAATTGATCGAGCTAACTAGATTATAAACTTCGACCAAAAAAAAAAATAGATCATAAACATTGTATCAAACCTTTGTAAAAAAATGTAACGTTTTCCGTATATCGTTATAAAAAGCAAAAAATGAGATGCGAGAATAAAAATGATCGATGGACGGCGAAAATACACCCGACTAATTGAGCTCATTGGCTGGCTAGGTCGAGCTCGGTGTCGCCAAAAACTTTTTGCGCAAACTTGTCGATGATCAGAAGAATTACTATTTGATGAAAGTTGATCGAGTTTGGACGGCCAGTGCACTGGCTACAGGACCAAGATGGGAGATCTTATTCCAGTCCAACTTACTTATAATTGGACCAAGACTCCATTTATTCACGGGTTAAAAAAAATGCAATCGGTCCGAATGACGGGCGGGTCGCTTGGATTTGGATCCGTTGGGCAGCCCGGGAGCTGAACGGGTTCTCAAAAGCTTGCGCGATACACAATCCTGGACTTGCATCAGACATTTTGAGCGCTAAATACGGGTACCGACCTTGTATGTTGGTGCCATGTATATTGGTTTCAATAAATAAAGTCTCCGGTACCTTGTATTTACGATAAATGTCACTTTCTTTCTGATATTATGTGCGCCGTCAGGATCGGTATATTTGCCTCGATGAACTGATGGGAAGCGCTTTGATTTTGTCATCAAAAACTGGACCATGAGATTTTACTGAAGTGCAATCTGTTGTCAAAATTTTTCAACGTCATCCAGTTGACTGAGACATATTTTGCAGCCTTGCAGACACATTACGCAGTTTTGCTGGCCCTTGCTCTTGAAGAAGATGACTTGCCAGAAATCAAAGATGAAACAGTGCCTGATGAGGAAGGCCGGCTAGGTAAGGAAAAAGGTTATTCATGTGGAGAGCGTTTGCGTTTTTTTGTAATGTCGGGATGGAATGAGAAGTTGATTCTTGGTATCACCTTTGGCTGCCTTTTCATGCTTGCCTGCAGGTCAGGAGTTGTTAATGCGATAGAAGAGTTCAAGCTGTCTGTTTATGGGGATAAGTATGAGGAAAGCGATAATCCCGGCCATAAAAAAGGGGAGCGAGCCATCCAAGAAACGAAAAGCCATTGCGGATAGTTCCGTTGGGAAATCTGCACAAAATTGGGCTGAGCTCGCTGACAGTGGCAAGGTGAAACGGGATCTCTCCCTTTTGTGTTTTCTCTGTGCATTTTTTTAAAAATTTGGTTCTTGTCGATGCAGTTATAGCCTGCAGTTACTGGACAAGATTTTTCTCTCGAGCCAGTTAAAAAGAGTTCTCCAGAAGTTGTTTTCCCTGTTCTCTGACATATCGTGCAGATTATTGTTTTATTTTTGTGTTAAGAAAGTGCCTTTTGCAACCATATTAGAGGTTTTAAGTGATTTGAATGAGGAGAATCATGCAGATGAAAGCTCTTGTGGTTAAGTTTGGCAGAAATCAGTACAGAATGGCTTTGCATTCACTGACCTTCCTCTTGTTGTTGTGCACCCCTACAGTTGAAGGATTTGACGGTAGTGGAGTTAAAGTTCTACCTGACTGCACCCGATCTGCCCGTCTCTGGGAAGAAAGAGGATTTGATCAAGAGGATATTGACTAACATGGGGAAGTGAACTTGTAATGTAACTATTGCAAGGTTTTTGTATTGCTTTTGATCCCTTGATAGCTGCAATAGAATCCCAAGAATGCTGAAGTCCAAGTGCAGCATCAAATGGTGTCAAGTGAAACTTAGATGGCATAATTCAATGACAAGCTCCTTCTTGCCTTTGTAAAGATGGCGTCGCTTACGACTGAAAGAAATGGTTCTCTGGAAGAGCAGGCGGAGGGATGGTAGCCGTGACACGCTTTGCACTTATTTAATGAGATGATTGCATCATAAGAAAGCGTAGTAGTTATCTTTAACTATGAAGCTCAAGAAAGTGTTTCTGTTTCTCCTATGAACAGAACAAAGATTACTTTTGTTAAGACTCCCTGAAAACGAGGATTGAGGTCGCAGCAATTGTTCTGTAGCTTCTGCTAAAAGGAAACCATATGCGTTCAGTGTCCTGACCTCTGCTTAGAGAATCCAAATACATGTACTCTTACGACTGTCAAACCAATTTATAGAGCATAATACCCAATCCTAGTATATTATGTTGCTCAGGCATTAGATATTTTAGTCAGTGGATTCAAAAAGTACCAAATTGAATTACACACCACAACAATCCAAATATTCAAATGTAGCGGATACAATTCCCATCATGTAAAGCCACCATGCAACAATTATAAACACAGGACATCCAATGCTAAAAAGCCATAACAAACAACACATCTTGGCATAGAATGACAGACACAAAGCTTAATGCGGACGATAGTAAGGGTACAGGGTGTAGAGCGTCTGGAGGAGTGTAAGCAGCAAGAGGATGATGGCAGCAAAGAGAGAGAGGCATGTCCACGGACTGCTGAAACGTTCGCGGATGAGGTTTCTCCACCAGACACGGTACTTGCTCTCGTCATAAGGCTTGCAATAATCATTTACCTCCTTGATCTCGTTGTACAAGTAGCACTGATCGAGATCGTAAACGATCTCTCTACACAGCTTGTTCAATAGATTGGCCACGTCCCCATTGCTTCCCAACACGTGATTGATGACCCCATGCTTGTGGAGAATTTGAATATCCCCGGGGCTATTGACCAAACTGTCCCAGAACATGAAGTAATTCGTGAAGTAGGGCTTGGCGTGGTCGTGGCACTGTTCGTAGGCAACGAAGTTCAAAAAGAGAGGGACCGTGTTGTCGTCCATGGACAACGGAGGGATCTGTAGAGTGCGGTGAGCAAAGTTGATGTCCAGTAAGTCTTGGCCCTTCCTCTTCTTGAATTGCACGCCCGCCTCTCGGAGCTCTGAGACAGAGTGTATTAGCTGCCTTTCTCGGACAAGGGCGCCGACACTACCATCGGGATGTGACTGCATCTTGACCTGAGCCATTCCCTGCTTGTCGACTTTCTCTCTTACGGATTTGAGGAAGGTAGAGCGGAAGACATCGAGCAGATGAGCGTAGGGTTTTTTGGTATTCAACTTAGAGTCAGCATTTTTTCGGGGTAACAATGGGTCAAAGAAGGTGACCGCGAGTACTTCCAGCGACACAGCTTGTCGATCGATGCTTTTGTTGTTGTTGATCAGCTCGAAGAGTTTCTCAAGAACGAAGAAAGGTAGTTGGTTCTCAAGCATCAGAAGATCGCGTTGAAGGGTTCTTAGCATCCAGGGGGTGGTGAAAATCGGATCGTCCACATTTGCCACTCCAGGGGACTGCAAGCAAAAAAGGATCAATGATTTAAGACTAAGAGAAGCAAAGTCAATATGCATAAGATTACACATAATACTTGAATACCCGTCAATTTTAAGGAATAATTAAGTCATTGGAACATAAGAGTATGATATTATGACTGACTCTAGGATCTTACTTTATTTTGTATCTCAACGGTCTTCCACGGTCAGTATTCATGCCTTTGATCCTATTGTTTTTTGTAAATTACTTAATTCAATGGACAATCAAGCATGCATTTTATGATCTGGATTTTAGTTTCTAATGGAATATTCTTTTGAATAGCTCGGTTTCAAGGATAGACAAGACAATCGTAAATGACCACAATTAATTCACTCAAAAGTTGAAACTGATAAATGAAGGACGTTATGTAAAATTTAAATGCCGCTCTACCTCTGTGTGGACAGAGTCATAGTAAAGGCGCAATAGTTCGACCATGAAGCAACCATCGACGACCATCATTTCCACAAAGTCGTCGCCGCCAATATCATCAAAGCTCTCCGAATAACAGGCCCTCGTTTTTTCCTCCAACATCTGCATGGCTTCCACAAGGTCATCCAAAAGCACGGGTTTTGCCATCCGACCCTCAATGTTGTCTTCTAGACAATCACGGTCATCGGACTCCCTCTCCCCCTTGGTCGTCGCCGACATATCTCCATCACTTTTCCGCCGCTCCAACTTCCCTCCCAGAAGGCGCATCAGAAACCGCATCTTGTGCTCTTCCATGACCTGCAGCCTCTCTTCTCTTTCACGATAATGGAAGGGACCGACGGATATTATTTTGGGCAGGAAAGCATTCTTCTGGACTTCACACAAGTTGCTAGGGACTCGGTAGATGGTCCACGACCTCCCTGCATCATAAGTGTGCCCTTCCTCAAGGGAGGTCATGATATCGATGACCCAGTTATTAGTGTAATACTGGTCCTGTCTTCCTCCTTGTTCTTCGGATTCTTCTTCATTTCTTGAGTGCCTCCTGTCATGATGAGATCCCACAGTTCTGAGTTTCTTCCCAGATTTTCTGTTGCCCTTGTTGCCTCGACCCATTGTGGAAAGAATATAAGCCCAAAAGAAACAGATAAATTTCAGGTGGAATCAAGGTTTGTGTATGAGCCGAGATGCAACTTTGGTTCAGGAAGACACCCATGCAAGATTTTGAGATTTATATGGAGTTTCCACATCATTAAATGGCAGTTGAGTGCTCATGCAAGCAAACGTGTGGAGAGAGAGAGAGAGGTTCATACACACATCACCTAAAAGGAAAAAAAAAAAATCTAACTACTAGGTATTTGTCGTGTATGGGAGCTAACTTCATCCACCAAAAATTGTGTTTATAAATGAAAATAGGAGAGTGTGTCAATGGAAATAAATGATTAATGTTCGCAAGTTTACTGATAAAAAATAGAGACAAGATAGAGAGAATTATAGCTGGGACGGTTTGGATGCATAAAATAACGGCAATAGCAAACCAATTTAGAAGTCATGACTATAGAACATAAATCGAGAATATTGCTTTATATATAGCAGAATTCTACGTTCCGTGCCTAAAAAGAATGGCCTTTTTTCGTGCTGTTACACTTTTACGTACAAGCAGTAGCCAATGTGAAAAAATCAATGGTAATGAAGTGACCCGTAGCATTTTTTCAAATAATTTGTTCATAACTCATCAATATTTTTATGAAATTACGAACTTTTTGTATAGATAGATACATTGTTGCACGTTTCACTTCTATTTGTTTTTTTAAAGAGAGAACACTAAGCATACCAGTCACCTGGACATACTGTCCAAAAAAAAATTAATTAAGGGTTCTACAAGTGCTAATGTTTGTTAGAAGGTTAGGGTTTTCCTGAATGCTATACTTTATTGAGCCAACTGTAACTACTGCGAATTTGTCTTGTTCGCACATTGACTTGACAACGCTATAAAATACTCGTGTGAGTTTTCACTTTACATGTTCGTTAATATTACAATAGTTTTGGCGATAGTTTTACAAGAGCTCAATCTTTTAACAACTAGTTACTATGGATAATTGGAAGTCGGGAATTTTGATATTTTGTGTGGTTTGACCGTTCAATTTCATGTTAGCATGGGCTACGGGTAGAATATTTGCACATCGAGTCCATGACTACTGATAGAGAGAAATGAATAATATTAGTGATATAGAGATTGATTCAAGTTGGTTAAAAATTGAGAAAATAAATAGAGTAAGCAATTTAAATGAGTGTTGATAATCCAAAACCAGTTGATAGCTTAATTGGAGAAAATTGGTGAGTCGCACAAAAGAGGTTGTCAATTTCATATAATAGTGGTAAATTTAAATCGTTGCTAAAAAAACAAATAAAGGTTTGTAAAAGATAAGAGAAGTTTGCTTTTGTTCAGAAATAAGAAGAGCAGATAATTAAAAGAATAAATATTGATAGCTACCTCAAATAAGATTTGGCAACACAAAACTTATTGGTAACTTGATAGGAAAAAAGTTTGTAATCATTCTAGCTGAGGGTTATTAATTTCTAAAAATAGTTGGTATATTTTAATAGTAGGTAAGTTAGGCAAAGAAAATTCATAAATGCTAAAAAAAGTTGGCAAATTTAAAAAAAAAATTGAAATAAACGTTGGCTACTTAATTGGAGAACTCCGACCAAAAAAAAATTGGAGAAAAGTTGCTACAACTATAATTATAGTTGGTAATTAAAAAAAATTAGTAAATTCAATGGTTGATAAGTAAGACAAATAAAAGTTAGTAACTCGATAGAAAATTTTAATACAAATAAATAAATAAACATTGGTAACCAATTCAAATGAGAGTAGGTAAACCAAAATCAATTGGTAAACTAACTAAAAAAATCGATAAGTCACATAAATAAATGTTGGTAAATTCAAAGGTTGATAAATTTAAGGCGTTTGTAGTAAAGACAAATAAAGTTGATAAGTTCAAAAATTAAAAAAAAACAAACTTTGGTAAGTAACTTGAATAAGAGTTGATAATCCATAACCAAGTAAGTATTTAATTTGAAGAATGTTTGATAAGTTATTCAAATAGAGATTGTTAAATCAACGTAAGGCGTTGATAAGAAAATAAAAATTGGTAAAAAATAAGAAACTTCTATAATGTATAAACTTTCAAAAAAGTTGGTAATTTCATGAAAGTGTTGGTAAGTTACCAATATATTACCAAAAAATAATATGACCGATAATTCCTTTTACAAGTGGTTATTTGACTGTTACTAATTTTTTTGAACAATTTACCAGCGCAGAAAAAAATGTGTTTTTAATGTTTAAATAGAAGAGTAGAATCGTCCACATATAACTTCAGATGTATGGTTTATTTGGTCAAAAAGAACCAACGGACACCTTTTCCGGTGGATACATCTGGTAAATTGCACACGAATATTTACTACAATTTGTTGTAATTTAGATTTTCTTTAGGGGCGTACAGTTTTGTTTCATTGTAATTTTTCAGGAAAATTCCTAAAGGCCTGAAGTAATCTCATTTTCTCAAATAAGGCCATGAAGCAGACTTTGTGTTAAATAAGGGCCTGAAATGACACAATTTTCTCAAATAAGGACTTGAAGTGGTTATAATAGTTTCAAATAAAGGCATCACCTCGCCGGCTCGCCGACCAGCCAATTTTCCGACCGATCAAGTGCATTTTTGTCCAAAAACAATTTTAACATAAATTTTAGTTAAATTAAATTAAAATTAAAAAAAAAATAAAAAAGAAAAGAGAAAAAAACAAGGGGGAGGCTGGCTGCAAATGTAATGGAGATCTATTTAATCAGCTCTTGGTGCCATTGAATCCCCTATCTTCTTGTTCAAAGGGAGTGAGACCACCTAGAACTAGCTTTATCACAAGATAAGATCTTTCCTTAGATGGATCTTTGCCCTTTTCTTTGCTTTCCTGGACAGGCTTACCCATGTGGAATAAAACTATATGTGCTTAACACTGATGAATCCACTGCTCCAACTAGAGAGACTTAGTTTTTCACTCGAACTCGCTCGGCTAAGCCCTATTTGCTTGCTAGCCCTTTCCACCTGTGGCTACCGCCCATCGCCAGTGGGGCAGCAGCGACAGCTGGCAGGGTCGTCGGCGCCTCAACGAGGGCCTGGTGGCCCTCGCCAGATTCGAGAGAGGGTCGCCCAACCCTCTCCCAAATCTGGGCGAGGGTCGTCGGCCCTTGTACAGGTCTGGAGGCCCTCTCCCAGACCTATACGAGGGCCAGCGACCCTCTTTGAATACCGAGATGGCCACTTCAGACCCTTATTTGAGACAAGGTTCAGTTTTTGCCTTTATTTGAGAAAATGATGGCACTTCAGGTCCTTATTTAACACAATATCTACTTCATGACCTTATTTGAGGAAATGAGTGCATTTCGGATCCTTATTTAGAATTTTTCCTAATTTTTTGGACCTTCGATTACCTTGGTTTAGTAAGATAAGTCTAGATAATAATCACCAGTTCAATACAATTCCATCGTCACCATGAATCCTCTTTTCCTAATATTTCAAATATGTCTTATTTCCGTGTGCCACAATTTTTCGCTGATGGCGGAGTATTCTTGCAAGAAAGGGTGGTTATACAGAGGGAATTCAACCACTGCAATTCCAACTCATTCTAGCTCATTATTCCAACATTGTGTCCCCGCACACCGTGTTATATGTTAAAGAGGACCAGTTAGGGCTAAAGATGGAGACAACTATTCATTGCTTAATTCACACGCATCACACAAATGATCAGCATTAGTCTCGTAATCCATCTCAAGGATGCCACCCCAGAAGTTTTTTATTTTTATTTTAAGAAAAAAATTCTTAACATTCAATGAAGAACAACTTGGTATAGGGATGTGTCAGCGATCTTCCATTTTCTATTCCGCCATGGCAGCTGTGATCAATAACATTGAGTCTCACATATGAACTGGAAGCTAGAAGGGTTAATTACGAAAAGTGAAGAACTAAATATTTTTATCTCCAGTTATTTTCATTTGAAGACCTTTGCCAATTCCTAATGGTCAATTAAAAATATAACGCTATTTTTTAAAAATTATTTTACACGTAGATTCATCCATGCATGTTTCACTTCTATTTGATTTATTTTGAAGGAAGAACAAGTCACCTCGACATAATGTCCAATAAAAAATTAAGGAGTCCACAAATGCTAACATTAGAAGGGTAGGGTGTTGTAGATTGCGACATTGTATTGAGCCGCTTGCAACTACTGCAAATTTGTCTTTTGCTCGTTCACTAAATAATGCTAAAAGACATTTGTGAATTTTCACAATTTGTTAATGCATGTGGCCGACGAGGGTCGCGACGCTATCACCCATACCCTATGGCCAGCAAGGTCGCTGGCCTATAGTTGGGAGAAAAAAGTGAAGAAAAGAAAAGAAAAAAGAAAGGAAGAAAAAGAAAAGAAAAAGGAGAAAACAAAACAAAAGTAATAAAAAAATTCATAAAGATTAAACAATTGTCCGCATCAACGCCGCCCGTCCGATCATGCCACATAGGACGGCTAGCATCCATGTCAGCGATTTCAAGCCAAAATTGATCAGATAGACTCAATTGACACAAATGCAAAATGTTTAAGATTAAATTGATTCAATTGAAAGGTTTAGGATTAAAAATGCAATAGGTTTCGGAATTTTTTGGTAATTTTCCCGTAAAATATTTGTACATCGCGTCCATGACCACCAATGGACGGAAATGAATAATATCAATAATATAGTGATTTATTCAAATTATTGTATATTTATAATATGAAGCACAACTTGTTAATGCTTTTGTATAATTTCTTATAATTGAACTTTTATAAATGAATCTATGTTCCCCACGAAAAGAAAAACTCATTTTCTTTCATCATTTAGCTGCTCCTAGATACTACAACATTTACCAACACTGTAAAGCGTCGCCATTATTCCACAAATGCTACTAATAAGACCTGAATAATCATTTACCGTTTACTGTCAATCGTGTCTTCAGCTTCAATTTTCGCAACAATCTTAATGTTTCAATTTTCTCACTCTTTATAAACCAGCAATTAATTCAAGGATACGATGTAACACGAGGACTTTTAATCAAATCACAAACGACAACAAGGTTTCCGTTAGTTATCGACGTGTAACAAGCGCCACTTGCTCTCTTTCG